AAACTCTTGATTTGATAGGTGAGTGGAGCCTCAATTAAAGTGGTGCTGGACAACCCCCAGGATCAAAATTAGATTTGGACTCATTAATTCAGAGCAAGTCCATCTTTCTCCAACTCTAATTAAATTAGATTTACTTCATTAATTATTTTTACAGGACCAACATAGGCAGCAATTAATCAAAGCAGTCTCCACTCTCATTGCATTATCCTGCAAGATTTACTTTGTCTAAATGTGTGCTTTAGTGTGCAAGAATGCAAGACAGTTAAGAAATATTTAAATCAAAATGAACAGAGTTGACACAAATGTGGCAAAACTAATATGGAAATATCTTTTTAATGGTTTTTCAACTCATTCTGAAACCACATCATGGCAGCAAACAGCATAACTAAGTATAGAATCATTCTAGCTAAATGAAAGGCATCACAAAAAAGATATCATAAAATATTAACAGACATCTATCTCTGTCAATTAAAAATATTTCTGAATATTTCTGACTAACTTAAAGATATTTGAATTATTGAGCGCTGAATATGCAAACGTGTGTCATCATAATTTAAATTTATTATCCAATTCCATATCAATTATATTTTAAGATATATACTATAAACATGTAAAGACCATAAGAATGCGTTTAACTTTTCCCTTTTTTCTCTAAATATTCCTTTCTTTTCTTTTCTTTCTTCTTTTCTCTTCTTTTGTTTAATTGTGAATGTATTGTTGGTTGGTTTTAATTGTAAAAACTAATAAACTATATTTAAAAAAATAAATAAAAACCAAAGCAATAGCAGCGATGTCAAATTGGCAGCCTGCAGGCCAGATATGTCATGTGTAGGCCACGCCCACCCCAGCTCCACGAAGTGGGAACACCAGTGGTGGGATTCAAACTTTTTTACTACCGGTTCTGTGTGAGTGTCTTAGCATGGCAGGGGAAGGATACTATAAAATCCCCAGCTGGGTCTTGGGAGGCAGAGAACAGATGGGGGCGGGGCCAGTCAGAGGTGGTATTTGCCGGTTCTCCAAACTATTCAAAATTTCCGCTACCGGTTCTCCAGAACTGGTCAGAACCTGCTGAATGCCACCTCTGGGGAAAATGTTGTGATACATCACATGATGGCAATGTGAGACAGCAAGTTTGACACCCATGCAATAGAGAAACAGTTGAAATTTAACAAGTATAGAATGACCTCATTTTCAGTACAAAATAAAAATATGTGAAAAACAACAATTACATAAATGAATGGTGAGCATTTATAGTTGGCTAATTGATTTTGCTTCCAAAAAGTCTTAAAGTTCTGTTACAACTACCACTACATTCTCATGTCCTTTAAATATTGTGTGTGCTAACTATTTTGCCTCATGTTTTGAGATTTGGATGTTAGATTTTGAAGATCTTTACATATTTTTTCTTATTTAAAAAATCTGATTTTTGTCCTATTTTTGACAAATCGATACATAATTCCAAGATACTGATGTAACTCTGCTAAAATATATTCCAGTAATGAATATATTTTGATGTAACATTTTGTGAACAGGGACTCGTACAAAAAATAAATACTCAAGTAAATAATATAGCACTGAGAATCTTCTGTTTCGTAGATGATTTGGTTTTTGTTTTGGCGGTCACTTTAAAAGGAATTGAACTTTAATAAGTAAATTAAAAGAATTTGGGGCACTGGAAGGTTTCAAGATTAACAAACAGAAGATACAGATATTAACAAAGTATATGAAGATAAAATATATCACCAGGCAAGAATTTTTGGGCTTGGACAACCTTGAACTACTACGCTGCCTGCGGTTGGACTTAAGCGTAATACACAAAATGAGCTGTAAGCCCTAATCATCACAATTATGACAAATCATGGGTTGAACTATCTTGCTTTGCATGTAATGAGTCTATCTCATATATTAGGTTCACCTTTTACGTTGCATTACTGAAATAAATGAACTTTTGCATGATATTCTCGTTTTTCGAGTTTCACCTGTACATTTCGGTTCTTCCAAAGACCAAAGCGTTAGTCATTGAGGGAGATGAAATGCATGCCACAACTTCATGGTGCAAATTGTGTGGGATGGCTTACATCAGAAGCTGAGATGCAAGTATGCAAGATCATAAATTGGTACTTAAACCTATTATCAATACTGAAAGAAACTTTGACTAAAAATGTTACGAAAATTGAAACCCTGATATAGTACTGAATATCTAGCTTTTCAGTAGCCGTATTCAAATCTGGATGTAGCTACAACAGTCAACCTGGCAGGGGACACAGAGATAGACACACAAGATTGAATGCATAAAAGCAGATTCTCATAAGTACTAAGCAATCCCCATTATTTGATGACCAGAGTGCTGCGTCGTTAATGTAGGTAAAATCAAAGTTCACAATCTTCAGATCCTTTTGCAGGTACATCTCATTCAGCTGGTTTAATATTCTCGCAAAGGCGTATTTAGATGCACAGCTGTAAGCTTCCCAAGTGTAAACTTGCTTGAAATGCATATCAAACCATGGATTATCCTAAAAGGAAAAAAAAACACCAACGTTTTATTTGCTGCCTTTCTGCTCAGAAAGAAGATTCAAACTAACAGAGAATTTAAAATATTTATTTATTTATTCATTATTATTATTTTTATTTAGTTTAGTTTGTCAAACATCAGAGGTGGTCTTCAGCAGGTTCTGACCAGTTCTGGAGAACCGGTAGCGGAAATTTTGAGTAGTTCGGAGAACCGGCAAATCCCACCTCTGACTGGCCCCGCCCCCATCTATTTGCTGCTTCCCGAGTCCCCTCTAATTGGTTAGATCTTCTTTGGTTACCCTGCACAGGAGAACAGAGCTGGAAAGCAGGTTAGTGGGGTGGGGAGGGAATGGGGATTTTGCAGTAACCTTCCCCTGCTACGCCCACCAAGCCATGCCCACAGGACCAGTAGGACCAGAGGTGGTATTCAGCCGGTTCTGACCAGTTCTGGAGAACCGGTAGCGGAAACATTGAGTAGTTCAGAGAATTGGCAAATCCGGCCTCTGACTGGCCCCACCCCCATCTCTTCTCTGCTTCCTGAGTCTCAGCTGATCGGCTGGGTCTTCTTTGGTTGCCCTGCACAGGAGAACGGAGCTGGAAAGCAGGTTAGTGGGGTGGGGAGGGAATGGGGATTTTGCAGTAACCTTCCCCTGCCACGCCCACCAAGCCATGCTCACAGAACCAGTAGAAAAAAAATTTGAATCCCACCACTGGTCAAACATGTAATGAGAAAACAAGTATAATTATGAACATAACATATAAACATATAAGTATAAACATATATAAGTATATCCATAATACATGAGTACAAATAAATGGGAACAGTAGGACAGGGACAGTAGGCACACTGATGCACACCCCCTTACAGACCTCTTAGGAATGGGGTGAGGTCCATGGTAGACAGTTTAAGGTTAAAGCTTTGGGGTTTTGAGGATGTAACAACAGAGTCAGGTAGTGAGTTCCAGTGGTTGACATGCAAATATATGCATGTCACATATGCAAATAACGTGCAAATATAAAGTAGCATCTACAAAACAATACAGGTAGTCCTTGACTTACAGCAATAATGGAGCCCAACATTTCCATTGCTAAGACAGTGGTTAAGGGAGTTTTGCCCCATTTACAACCCTTCTTGCCCTAGTTATTAAGTAAATAACTGCAGTTATTAAGTTAGTAACACGGTTGTTAAGCAAATTTTTTGCTTCCCTATTGACTTTGGTCAGGTCACAAAAACAGATCACATGACCAGTGGTGGGATTCAAAAAATTTTACTACTGGTTCTATGGGCGTGGCTTAGTGGGCATGGCTTGGTGGGTGTGGCAGGGAAAGGATACTGCAAAATTCCCCTTCCCTCCGCACCCCACTAACCTGCTTCCCAGCTCTGTTCTCCTGTGCAGGGCAACCAAAGAACACCCAGCCAATCCGCTGGGACTCGGGAGATGGAGAATAGATGGGGGTGGAGCCAGTCAAAGGCGGTATTTTCCGATTCTCCGAACTACTCAAAATTTCCGCTACTGGTTCTCCAGAACTGGTCAGAACCTGCTGAATATCCACCTCTGCCCATGACTCTGGGACACTGCAGCCATCATAAATATATGGCAATTGCCGAGCACCCAAATATTATGGAGCTACTACAATGATTGTTAAGTATGAAAAGCGGTCTTGTTAGTTTTTTTACTGCCACTGAAAATGAAAGTCACTACAGGAATAATTGTAAATCAAGGACTATCTGTAAAATGTACTATAGAGAACCATTGCCCTTCTAAGACTTGTCCAAAAAAACCAAAAAGATTTGTGTTGCCTTTACTTCCAAAGACAGCGTAGGGACAACAACAACAACAAAAGCTCTTATCCGCATGCAAAATAAAGACGGGTTTGACCGAGGTGGCAACAGAGATGATTAGAATATCAGATCAATTGTGGTTGGAAACCAGCTGCCAATCTACATAGACTTCTGTAAAGCCTTTGATTCAGTGGTACACGACAAACTACTCCTAAAACTAAAAACTTATGGTATCTCTGGACACCTGCATAACTGGATAGAAGCATTCCTGTCAAACAGATAACAAATGGTCAAAATTGGGAGGGTCCTATCAAATTCTGTACCTGTCAACAGTGGTGTCCCCCAAGGCAGGTTTCTAGGACCAACTCTTTTCATACTCTACATAAATGACCTCTGTGATCATATCAAGAGCAACTGTGTTCTCTTCGCTGATGATGTAAAGCTGTTCAATACCACAGACAATACTTCAAAAAGATCTTGACTATGTATCAGAATGGTCAAACAAATGGCAACTTCAAATCTCAACAAATAAATGCTCTGTCTTGCATATTGGCAAAAAAAATCAGAAAATAAAATACAGGCTGAATAGTCAAGACCTTGTTGATGATCCAAGCTCTGTAAAGGACCTTGGAATACTCATCTCTACTGATCTAAGTGCTAGAGCCCACTGCAACTACATAGCCAAAAAGGCATTAAGGGTTGTTAACCTAATCCTACGTAGCTTTTTCTCTGGTAATAGCACACTACTAACTAGTGCATACAAAACATTTGCTAGACCAATACTTGAATACAGCTCATCAGTCTGGAACCTGCATTACGTATCTGATATTAGCACAGTTGAGAAAGTCCAGAAATATTTCACAAGAAGAGTTTTCCACTCCTCTACTTGTTGCAGAATACCTTATGCCACCAGACTTGAAATTCTAGACCTAGAAAACCTTGAATTACGCCGTCTTTGGTCTGATCTAAGTATGGTATATAAAATCATACATTGCAACGACTTACCTGTCAATGAATACTTCAGCTTCAACCATAACAACACAAGAGCACACAACAGATACAAACTCAAGGTTAACCGCACCAAACTTGATTGCAGGAAACACGACTTCAGCAACAGAGTGGTCAATGTCTGGAATACTCTACCTGACCCTGGTTTCTTCCCCAACCCCCAAAAACTTTAACCTTACTGTCTACTATTGACCTCACCCCTTTCCTAAGAGGTCTGTAGGGGGCGTGCATAAGCGCACCAACTTGCCTACCGTCCCTGTCCTATTGTTTCTTTTTATTTCTCTTATATGTACCCATTTCACGTATTCATAACGATGTATATACTTATACCTATTATCTTGTAAGCGTTTGACAAATCAAAGTACATAAAAAATAAAATTAATTAATTAATGAGATCCTTTAGTAAGACGTGCAGTCTAACTACGATATTTTGGAAGTTTTCCCAGGGTAGCTTCAAATAGAGCAACAATTAACAGTCAACCAAGGATGTGGAAAAGACAGCATGAGCGAAGAAGGCTCGCTTCAGTGATGCTGAAGCTACAGTGTCAAAATAGGCACGTTTACGCCTATTCACGCTTGCATTCTCTTGTTCGTTTTGCAACAATAACAGTAATTTGAAATTGCTATATTCATAGTTAGTGTTTATGATGGTTGTGATCTGTAGTGGTGGGATTCAACATTTTTACTACCGGTTTTGTGGGTGTGGCTTGGTGGGTGTGGCAGGAGAAGGATACTACAAAATCTCCATTCCCTCCCCACTCCAGGGGGAAGGTTGCTGCAAAATCCCCCTTCCCTCCCCACCCCACTAACCTGCTTTCCAGCTCCATTCTCCTGTGCAGGGCAACAAAACAAGACCCGGCCAATCATCTGAGACTTGGGAGGCAGAGAATAGATGGGGGCGGGACCAACCAGAGGCGGTATTTGCCTCTACCTCCAAACTACTCGAAATTTCCTCTACAGGTTCTCCAGAACTGGTCAGAACCTGCTGAAATACCACCTCTGCTTTTCTGGATTGTATAACCTTGTACTTCCTAGTATCCTGACTTCAAAAGGGGGCGAAATCTTCTTGGAACTGCTTAAAGGACCCTGTTGTAGGCAGGAGGTAGGTGGTGTCTTCTTCCTCCCTCTCTGTAAACATAGGTCTGCTCAGTGTTAACATAAATGGTCTCTTTTGGACCATTGGTTTGAAAGAGGGGTAAAAGAGGCCATTTATGTTAACACTGAGCAGACCTATGTCTACAGAGAGGAAGGAAGAAGACACCACCTACCTCCTGCCTATAACAAGGTCCTTTCAGCAATTCCAAGAACTTTCCTCCCCCATTTGAATTCTGAAACAGATAACCCTGAGGGGACAAATAAACCCTCAAGTGGCCTAAAGACCTCTCAGGGAGAGTACTAATGACCGGATGATTGCAGAAAAATATGATCCTCCCAACCTCCCCCCAATCCAGTCAGAGCTAATCCTTTTATCACTCCTACCATCCTGCCCGAACCGATGGAGCTTCTTCTGTCAGGATTCCAGCAGTTGCCCTAATTAAGTCAGGAGTCTCGAGCCAAGCTTCAAAAACTTCAAAGGATTTATTAGGAGCAAACATGTCGGCATGACCTGCATAAAGCCGATTCTGAGACCCGTAGTTCACTATCACCTATGACCCTGCTTTCTCCCCCACCCCTTTGGGTGTATCATAATTCATATTCTCCAACAAAAACACATTCATAGCTGAGAGTCATCAATCACGTTCTCCAATTAGGGATTTTCATAGCAGAAATTCCGGTAGCTTAGTTACAATCTTTGCAAGATAAGAATGGAATGCACTTTTGGTTTAAACTGCCCCACTGCTCCTTCAAATTTCTCCACCCGCCTTTATGGCAACTCTAAAACAGGCATAGAAATGTTTTATGAGTTGACATCTTGCATGAGAAGCAAAAAGTCTTCCTCAAGGAAAAAACAGTGTAATTGCCTTTTGAAAAAGCACCTTTGAGATCACTATGACCCGGATGACTGAGAATCTCCACAGACATTTACATTCTAGCTATTACATCACCAACAACAGAACAACATGTCTTATAATAAAATGCAGCACTTACAGAATCAGCCTCCTTTCCATCTATCATCTCCAAATCATTTAGAAGCCATTTTTCAGATATTTCATAGTTCTCATCAAGGCCAGTTCTGTAGTGTTTTACCACCGATATTTGTACTTCTTCACCTTTTGACACTGCAGGACAAACATTTGGTTTACAATATATTTTCACACAGAATGCAAAAATAAAATCTTTATTAAGAAAAAAAAATGCCTTCTGATGCCATTTGGTGAGTGAGGCCCAGCATTTCTAAGATTCAGCAATTGCAGTTGCTTTTAGCATTCATGCCATTTAAACTAATTTAACCTAATTGAAGATATAGCTACAATATCAAAATGTACACATTGTAATTAAATAAATGTACAAGCTGTCCATATTTAAACTTAAAAGGGCAATTTAAAATTAGATTTGAAGTGTACAAGTTGGACCTATTTCCAATCTATGATTGCAATCACACCAAATTATTAAATGGTTTCAACAATTTACTGATTGATCAATATTTGTAAAATTTGTTTTTTATTTTAAATATAAGTAGACCTCATTGCATTTAATGTATTATCACTAAACTATTTATTGCTAAATAAATGTATTGCTCAATTTTACTTTGGTGTGAGTCTTTTAAGTTGGAAATCTATTGGAATATAGAAGGGTTTTTTAAAGTAATAATTACAAATTACTCTGAAAACTTTAACTGTAGATCAGGAAAGACATAATTTAAAAGAAATAAGCAACAGAGTCATCTTTATTCCAGCACTGACCAACAAAACAAAGTTTTGAAATATAGAATAATATCCATTTCAATGAAATAAAAGTGTAGCCTATATATGTATACAAATTAACTATTTTTAAATAGCTAGTGCAAACTATAAACCATGATACCAATATAACTAAAATTACAAGTTTAAAAATTACAAAAACAATAAATACAGTGAGAATTGGTAAAGTTTAAATGAAACTTTAAGTGATGACTACAATACTAAAAAGAGCTAACAAGAAATATAAACTGATCGTATTACTGAAATCTTTTTAAAAATATGTTTAGTATTAATATTGTGCCTGCAGGGATTATACAGATTAGTAGAGAGTAGAATAAAATATATTGCAAAGGAGTGATTATGACATAGAGACTAATGAGCTAAAAGAACAATAGCAATAACTGAATATTTGCATTTTTAACAATTGATAACAATTTAAAAAATAAAGATCAATAAATCAATATAGTGATACCACAGAAATAACCAGACTATATCCTGCAGGTTAATTTTTTTTACTATGGGCAAATTACACAAGTAGAAAAATCAGAGAGATCGCATGGCCTCCTGCAGTTTAAGAATTATTGGCTGCACATTTCTGAATGCTAAATGCTTTTATTAAGTTGCATTTAAACAGATTTATGTACCAATTAACTAAATGTTTCTTCTTCACAGTTACAAATATTTGATAACTCACATCTTCTTACATGACTATCAGCAACCCGCCCCCAATTTTGCAACTGCTTGAAAAAAGAAAATACACATCTTTATTTTTAAAAAAGTCATGTAAACTATGACAGCAATGGGCAAAATATAATGTAAAGAAAAAGCTAAATCACTAGCCCTAAACTTTCCAATTACTCATACTTATATGGAGAACTGATACGTGCCTCAGATTCCAAAGTGTTTTCATTTGAATATTTGGAAGAAATGGACATTAGAAAAAGGAACCAAAGCGTTACTGCAGAGTTTAAGCTTTGCTTTGGTTTTTTTACACCAGGTCTATACTTGCCCTTAAGTCAACCCAGCCTCCGTGGTACACTAGGATCTGAAAGTCCAAGAGCTTTGCAGAGAGGGAGGTAATGGCAAACTATCTCCATATTATTTGCCAAATAAACCTTCATCCAAGTAATTTTAAAAGTGACTTTACAACATTTAAAAACTGTTGCTGTTTCTGCCTTGGATTTGATCCAGATTACATTTGCTCTACTTAGTTCCTGTTAAAATCAATAGAAAGAGCTAGCACATGACTTAATTAAGCTCCAATATGATTTTTATACGTGACTGCCTTGCCTCGTTTACAGAACTTTATTAGACCCAGATGGCAATGTTTTCCTAGCTCCTTCTTAGTATTAATTCTTAATTAATTCTTAGTATTAGCATACAAAACATTTGCTAGACCAATACTTGAATACAGCTCATCAGTCTGGAACCCACATTACGTATCTGATATTAACACAGTTGAGAAAGTCCAGCAATATTTCACAAGAAGAGTTCTCCACTCCTCTACTCATTGCAGAATACCTTATGCCACCAGACTCGAAATTCTAGACCTAGAAAACCTAGAACTACACCGCCTTCGGTCCGATCGAAGTATAGTATATAAAATCATATATTGCAATGTCCTACCTGTCAATGAATACTTCAGCTTCAACCATAACAATTCAAGAGCACATAATAGATACAAACTCAAGGTTAACCGCACCAAATTTGACTGCAGGAAATATGACTTTAGCAACAGAGTGGTCAATATTTATTTATTTATTTTACCACCTGACTGTGGTTTCTTCCCCAAACCCCCAAAACTTTCACCTTAGACTGTCTACTATTGACCTCACCCCTTTCCTAAGAGGTCTGTAGGGGGCATGCTTAAGCGCACCAACGTGCCTACGGTCCCTGTCCTATTGTTTCTTTTTTGTTTTTCTTATATGTATCCATTTCATGTATCCATAACTATGTTTATACTTATACCTGTTATCTTATAATTGCTTGGCAAAATAAATAAATAAATAAACAATAAATAAATAAATAATTTTTCAGATTGTTTCACTAAATATTATAAATGCAGTTAATTTAAGTTGGAATCAAATTTAATGATTTCAAAAGTTTACTAAGTAAACTTTTTTGGATTTGTACACACACCCCAAACTGCACTCAATTTCGCGATTTGAAATTCCGTGTCAAGAGGTTGCTTCCAAATTTTATAAACGATTTAGCATTGAGTTCCTTTTCAAGGATGAACTGTCACAGGAGGAGGTCTTGCTATATACCCCTGAAATTCTTCTACTTATTCCAATTCATTGGAATTATAACCCCAAAAATATGAAGAACGTTTTGAGAGGTCTTTGAATTTTTATTATAACCGCTCAGAGGTCCTAGATGGTCAAGAAATCAAGAGAACAGTTCATAGAAAAGCTCTCCAAACATGAAGGCTGGCATTTCTTATTCTTAATTTCAGTTTGGGTGATTTTTTTTTGTTCATGTAACTCTGTTAATAGCAATATGATTTTTTATGAATTGATTATGTGAACGCATTCTTAGGGAAATGGTGTTCTATTTTAACAATGTACGTGCTACATTATTCTTTACCAAAAAGCTGCATATATTGTATTAAATTATGACTTGAACCAAGCCACTATGGTTGATTCAACAAAGTTTACTTGAACCAGTCAAGGCTTAATGAAGATTAATGACAGCCTTTTGATAGATAGATAGATAGATAGATAGATAGATAGATAGATAGATAGATAGATAGATAGATGGATAGATAGATAATGCTGTATAAGAATAAAGGAACAAAATTTCTCATGATCACCTCAAATTTGGAGATAATTAAAGGCAAAAATAAATTCTCTCACAGGTACATTTCCTTAAAAGGAGGAAATCAGTTTATATGTCACTTCTCTCTGTACATGACTCTGGTTGGCTAATTACAATTAAAAGCAGGTAAGAACATAGTAACAACCCAATAATAGCATATACTGCATGTAACAGATTGTTTATTTATTTATTTATTTTATTTGTCAAGCGATTATAAGATAACAGGTATAAGTATAAACATAGTTATTAACACATGAAATGGATACATATAAGAAAAATAAAACGAAACAATAGGACAGGGACAGTAGGCACGTTGGTGCGCTTATGTAAGCCCCCCTATAAGTGGTGAGGGAATCTCTGTGAGTTACTTATATTTCCCCCAAATCTCCCCCAGCATCCTGGGACCCCCACAGCATAAGAACAAAGTAGTACCTATGAATAGATAGGTACCAATCTATAAAATTTCTATGGCTTGGCACCAAGATACAGCATTGCCTTCTCAGAAACTAAGAATTTGCACTTTTGTCTTTCTTTGAAACATCATTTTTCTTGAGATCTCTTATGATCCCAACTTTACCTGGATTTAAAAACATAATTAAAACCTAGCTTTTCCAGCAGATCTTGATGATAGGTATGGTATGTTATGAAGTGTTACTCATAGAAGGTTGACATCATGGAATGTTGATATCATCAGCCACGGAAAAAAGTGCATTTCCAATGTCCCCACCCCCCCGCCCCCCCCGAGATGGCAAGATTTAAAGGAAAGGACCAGGAGAGCAACCATGCTATCTGACCTGGAAGGATGGCCAGATACCCCGTGTGGTGGTGTTCTCCGTGAGAGGACTGTACATAATGAGTTTCATCATGGCTCCCTATATCTGAGGAGTTGGGATATAGGATGAAATTTGTCACCTATTATATGTATATATTTCTGTGTGTCTGATAGAGAATGAAAACAGTATTAACTCCGTATGACAATAAGATAAACCTAAATAGGAATGTAAAAAATGGTCTTATCCCGATTCAGATCTTTTGGTGCATTGGAATATCAACTGAACTAAATGGCAGTTTTTCACTGTTTTAGACTGGAAGCATACAAAAGCCCCTAACTTACTTTCTTCAACAAGAGTTCTTCAGCACCCTACCTAGATATCCGCAATATTCATCTCAGTGATAGACAGCATGTAGCTAACCTTGGTTGATTTCGGAATCTAAGTAAGGTTAGCTGTGATTAGAATTTGTCTGGGGAAATCATAAAGAAATTCTAAAGTTTTACGGTAGCCGGAGGAAATAAAACAAAAACCCAACAGCATTCATTACAGTCTAAGGCAATGACAATCCTTTTGCGGTAACATTGCCAAAAAAAATCTGCTTAGAGAAGCCAAAAGTCAAGCATGACTTAAGGGCGCATTTATTTTTCTTTACTATTTATCTACTTTCAAGTAAATAAAGCTATATCTGTCATTTAATATCATTATACTGAATAACAGCCAAACAGATACTTCTGTCACACGCAAAGGGCCAGAACATGCTTAGGGCAATTTTAATTCCTTTAGTCTCCTACTTTCAAAAGTATCATGAAAAGACTATTATTTAAAAAATAAAACCATAAATCCCTTTGATACGTGAACAACTCCCCATTGAGAACCAGCATGATGTAATGACCAAGGAATCAGGCTACAAACTGGGGAACTGGGAGTTCTAGTCCTGCTTCAGGCAAAAAAAATCAGCTAGGTGACCCTGGGCCAGTCACTTTCTTTCGGTCCTAGAAAGGAAGCAATGGCAAATAATCTCTGAAAAACGCTTCCAAGAAAACTGCGGAGACTTGCCAAGCAGACTTTGAGAATCGGATACAAGGGAATAGGAGGAGAAAAGGGGCCCAAATCTGGATTTTAGTGTCATTTAGCAATCGCTTAGATTCCTTTTAAAATTAGTTTGTGGAAATTTACATAGGTCCTCGCTGAGCAATTTAATAACCAATCAGATTGATTGGAACCGAGCTTCTTCTAAAGCTACAGGGAATGAGGTGAGCAGCACAGGGAGTGACCCGCTAAAATAGGTTTCAGTGGGCAAAATAGAGTCTGAGTTTTAGAATGATTTTTTCCCCCCAATATCTGTTCAGATTTTATTTCAAGTGGCAAATCTGCATAAAACAAAAGTGGCATCCGCATGAGGGAGTTCAGGATGGAACAAATATCCCTTCTCCAATGGGTATCTTGACAATGCAGGTATGTCCCGAAGGGGTACACACCAAAGAAATGAAGCAATATTAAACTTAAGAAAGCATTCACACACCAATGCATACCAGTTTATGTGTGTGTTTGTGCATTATCTTGAGGAAGTTTCTTATTTTTTATGCATGACTTTCCTCAGAAGTGATGACAATTTCCTGTCAGGTTTTTAACTACGGATAGCATGGCATATTTTTTTTCCGCACGATCTCGTTCCATTCTTTGAAAAAGAATCCATTTATCTGATTCTGTCCTTTACTTCATTATATATAATGTGAAGTTACATATGATCTTATTCCCTCTAACATTCCAAGCTCAAATTCTGCACTAATCCTCTATTATTGCCTTGGACATAGTACTTTTAGTGATAATATAGGAGCTCCTTCAATACCTCAGGGAAAAACGCATCCTTCTGTGTCTACATTCTCTGCATATCCTGCATTGAGAAATATTTAGCAATGTAAAAAATTACAATCAGTGCCTCTTCTTATTAATTAATCTTTACTTCATATGTTATTCAGTGAAATCGATATTGCAAGTCTAGATTTTCTTGACATAGCTTAGGACACACAAAGCGCTTATTTTAAAATAGTGATAACATATCATGAAAAAAAAATCATTAAGTCAAAACAATGGAGTATTCTTAACAAACATGCAGATATTTCTTGGCCAAGATATTTTTTCTAAGATAGTATGAGATATTTTATATAGATGGAAGTACTGCTCATCAGTATCACTTTGCTTAATTATAAAAATGGGCCGATGAGTGATATTAGATTTGCAAAATAAAAAGTGACTTGCATCAGTTTTTGGGCTCTAAAATATTAATGTCGAAATAAGAACTTACAGTCTTATTTATATTAGAAGCAAAATAAGAGAAAATATTATTTCATTATATAAGTAAAAATGCCCAAAATAACCATGTTTAAAGCCACAGATAACATGTGTTTTATTAACATCTAATTATATTTTTGCTATTTCTCTTTAGAAAGATTTAGTTTGCTACTTTCTAAGGGAAAGCAAAATTTCTTCTAATTCAAAAATAATCATTGTGGTCCTTTTCAAGTAGGAAATAAACAAAACAGATAGGGCAATCCTAAATATATTGATCTAAAATTACTTAAATGTGAACTACTTTCAGACAAGGATATTTGCAATTTCAGTCAGCATTTGAGGAAATTCAATTTCTCAAGCATAGTATCTTTAATCCACAACCTTAGCAATAAGAATTTACCGACTAGACATCTAAAACATTTATTGAAAAAGTTAATCACATCGAATTTTGGTAGGGAAGGATACTGCCTAATACTATAAAGTGATTGTACTATGAATTTAGATTATTAATATTTAAAATCCATGCTTGTGCAGTTGATTAGCCTTTTAATCCTGAACACTTTAAAAGCCTAATACCAGTCAGTTACTTTGAAAGAAACTATATTGATTTCAATAGATCTTAATTCTAAGTTCATGCATTTAGGTTTACTGTCTTATTTTAGACTGCTATGACATTTATCGAAAATCCTTATAAACACAGCTATCAGATGTAGATCCTGTCAGATTCTAATACTTAACTACTTTAGTACGTTCAAAATATCAAGTATATTTAAAGCATCTCACTTGCAGCAATTATGCAATAACAATATACATATATATATATACTGTATATATAGCAGTATATTTCCTCTCTAGCAGATAAAGGAACTGAGGCTAATGCAACAGTATTTTTTTCTCAGAACACCAAGTTAGTTAATGGCTACGATCAATTTTGAATCGGGAAAATACTCTTACAGTATAATGGAGGGATAGAAAACAATTGAAGATAGTTAATTTTCCTTATATCCCAACCCCATTTACCTGAAGCACAGAGATAAAACCGATCCTGGCCTGAACACTCAATTTCGATGAACCCATATAAGTTTTGACCTAGAGTTCGGAATAGCTTCTTGTTGAGATCCTCCTTCAACAGTGATGACATTGCCTTGGTTTGTGTCACAATTCGGGATGTTCTTATTCCACTCCTTTTGCTTCTTCTCCGATGTGGATTGCTCCCAGAGATTAGAAAGTTAATTCTGCAAACCAAACCATCAAGCGACCAGGTTCCAGTTGTCCAGCTTGCTGGCTAGAGAATCAGCAGTAGCAGTCGCTCCATTCGGCGTCCGGTACCTCCAAAGTTCCTCTGCTCTGGCATAGCGTGTTAATGACCATAAATATCCGCTCCTGTGGGACTTAGCAGCCCCCTGGCTATCATGGGGCAAGAGCATTGTTAACCAAAGCAACACAAAAGCCCCATTCGCACCAACCACGTTTTGCTTCCCTAGCTGCCTGGAGGTATTGATTGAGAGGATTTTCCATTTAAAGACTATTGGCGGGAGACAGGAGCAGAAGTTACATCCACTTACACACTCTGCAGAACTGCCGCTTTTCCTGAACACTTAACTTTTCCCACAAGTGTACGTGCATCATTGCAGAGGAAAAGGGAAACCAGCCAATTCTGGCTCCAAAGCTTTGATATTAGATCTAGGTCTCCGCTTTTAGGCATCCAGGAAAAAAAATCTCTATCATCCAGGTTAAGAGTACTGTGGAAAGTAACCCTTTCCTGGCTAGTACTTTATCACAGTAATGTCAGTATTATTAATACTTCCCAATTCTGATAATTCATCTCCTTCAACACTATCTAGAATACAGTGCTCATCCCTCTGCAAAGACTTTATGATGTCTTCATTTATTCTACGCAGCCCTTGTTACTTTTCTATTTTATTTATTTGCTAGCTCTGTACCCGTGCTTCGCTATGAAACTATGTGACCGGGCTTAGTTTTTGGGCAGGAAAATAAGGGGGAAAAAATTGTGCCTCTGCCTACCAGCATCCATCGGTATTCATCTGGCTAGCATCCTGTCAGTGTGTGAGAGTTGAGGCTGTTTGGAAACTGAAACATGGAAACGGAAACAGTATTTGCTGTGTGAGCAAGAAGGAGACAGCAAGGAGCCTGGGCGTGGTTTAGCTCAACCATTCTGTACTAAAGCTGGTTGCTGCTGTGAAACTAAAACTGAAACTCTTGTCCCCTGCTTGTGTTTTGCATTTGGAACAGATTTCTTTTCAGGTGGGGAGGGGGAGTAGAACTCCTTAGCATCAGAGAGTGTTAATAATAATATAGGAAATAGTAATACTCTGGTGGTCATTTCGAAAAATCCTGTTAGTGAGCACCTAGAAGCCAAGAGGAAAATACATGCCAAATTTGAAGTTTGTAGGCTTTACGGTTCTGGAGATTTTGTGATGATGCGTGAGAGGTATTTCGCTTTTATATAGAGAGATAAAGTGTTCTTATATAAAACAATTCATCCCCTTGTTTAGGAGGGTGAAAAAGAAAAAAGGATCAGAAAGTATTAGACTAGCAAATTACTCAGCTACCCAATGTTTGGGCGGGGGGGGGGACAGGAAAAAGAATCCCCATACCTTGTTGATATTTAATAAATCATTCAATATCCATTATCAATATAATTAATTCATTTTGGTGCTCGTTAACTGATTTTTTTTTCTTATATTCACCTTACCTTTCAAACGCAATTAGTAGCATAATGCCATTAAAGCCTCTTTTTACAACTGATATTTAAATAAACTTTGTATTTTTTGTACCATATGAAATGTAAGTCAGCTAAAATACAAACCGTAAGTAGCTCTGTTTACATTTTCCATTCAGTGTACAAGAAATTCAACGGTAGTGTAACCACAGAGTCTTATCCATGTCTGTATGGGAACAATTCTCAATCAGTTCAGTAGATGCTATTATTCCTTTATAAGAATATACAGGTTTACAGCCAAGCTTGGAATTCCAAATAATTATTACAGAATAAGCATGCCATAGTCAGCGTCCTGTCAGTGTGTGAGAGTTGCAGTTTAGTTAGCTTATTAAAATATTGTTACAGGAGATGATTGACACTTTAAAAAAACCCTTTGAATTAAAAAAAAGATTCTCCGGCTATCTTTGAATTCATAATTCCAAATTCACACATACATGTACAATCTAAAATTGATCAACCACAATTTCGTTGCGAGAACTGTGCATAGGCTGTATAGTTAAGTTTTGAATTCAGCTTGTTATGTAACAGGATTAAAGGTAGTCCTCAATTTGCAACAGTTCATTAGGGGCCATTCAAAGTTCCACGGCCCTGAAAAGTGACTTATAATCGTTTTTCACACTTAAAACCGTTGCAACATCCCCATGGACACGTGATCAAAATTCAGATGCTTGACAAGAGACTCATATTCATGATAGTTGCAGTGTCCTGAGGTCATGTGATTCCCTTTTGCAATAAGGAGGAAAGTAGATTCCCTGAACAACTGTTACTCACTTAACAGCTGCGGTGATTCACTTAACAATGGTGGCAAGAAAAGTCATAAAGGGGCAAAGTTCACTTAACAACTGTCTCGATCAGCAACTGAAATTTTGGGCTCAATTGTGGTCATAAGTCAAGGACAACCTATAATTGGCATCTCTATGAAGTATGGGTAGATCTGTTATGTGATTGTCAACCCTCAACTATTAGGCAAAGTAGAAAAAAGAGAAACTAAGATTCTTCACTGGAAATTCACACCCAGGAACAATATTTAAAAAAAGAAAGTCTGAATGTCCTTTTTTTGTTTTTGTCTCATCTCTGCATGCTCATTTTATCACTTTCTCAACAAAAGGGGCGTATCTAAACCAATTAAACGTCAAGGTTCAAAGGAGCGTTGCAAATTATGCATAATGTTCCACTAAAAGAAGGAATGCCAATTAATTTTATTAAAATGAATACTGTGGGAAGAATAAATTTGTTCAAGGAAAGGAGGACCACGAAAACAGCACGGTCCATATCGTGCATATAGACAGGGATGGTTTTTTGTGAGAGTTTAAACTTATGTTCTTTAACTCTGACATATCTCTTTGAGGTTTTAACTATAGCGTTCCCTCAAAATGGCAGAAATCTGCATTCAGTTTTCAGTGATTTCCCTCAAAATAAGATTCATGGAACGGAAGAGTTCAAGGGACCACCATGATCACATAATGATCAAATAATCTAACCCACTGAAAAGGGCAGGAAAACTAATATAGTATAACCACGGGCCCAACTAACCATGTAGCAATGTTTCGGGAGAATCTCATCTGCCATCATCAGGCTTCTGTATAGAAGGCTTCTGTACAGAACGATTCTGCCGAAACGTTGCTACAACTTTAAAAGCACGACTACAATGACGTGGGAAAATACCCGAACAAAGCTGAATAGCATACATGTAAGTACCCGCGAAAACTTAAGAAAACAAATATATATATATATATATTTTATATATACATACATACGTGCATTTTGGGTTGGCCACTTGACACTCCTTCGCCTTCTCAACGTACTACTGTTTTAAGAGCTACCTAGGCTCAAGACAGCTTTTGTTTTTTTCCTCTTGGGCATGTTCAGATATGCGTGCAGGATAAGGTCAAGTTGGCAGCTACAATGGTGCAATCAAAGCTCCATTAGGTTTTCAGGTGTGTTACACAATAACAACACAGACCGTGCACTTCCTTTGCCATTAAGACACACAAAACAGGGACCCATATGTAGAGCTTCAACTGCATCCCAAGGCTGCCATCTTGACTTGTCTGGTCATCCATAAAGGAGAATATTTATAGCTCAGGGTTGAAAAGGACATAGAATAGAGTTGGAAAGGACCCTTAAAGTATGCTACCTCTGCTCAAGAAGGATACCTTATACCTTTTCAGATAAATGGTTGTCCGGTCTTTTTGAAAGCCTGCAATGATGGATATCCCACAACCTCCAAAGGCAAACTGTTCCATTGGTCGATTGCTCTCACCATTAGGAAATTTCTCCTTAGCTCCAAGTTGCTTCTCTTCTTATTTTCCACCCAATGTCCTACATATTATGAACACACATAGTTTCTTTTTTATTTTTCTTATATGTACTCATTTCATGTATTCATAACTATGTTTATTCTTATACCTATTATCTTGTAAGCGGCTGACAAATCAAATAAATAAATAAAATAAAAATAAAAATACATTTGTATATTGAACAGTCCCATTCCAGTCAAAAATTAATTTCCCCCACAACTGAAAAACCAGTAGGCCAGGGATGGGGAAACTTTTATGGCTCACTCAGGAATTCTGGGAGTTGAAGTCCATAAGTGATAAAAGAGCCAAGTTTCCCTACCTCTGATCTAGGTCAATAATCCCTCTATTAATAAGGGGTCCTTGGTGCTCTCTGAGTTTGGTTGCTGTCTTGCAGACGTTTCATTACCCAACTAGGTAACATCATCAG